CCCCCCCCCGAGTGCTGCCATCATACACAGACCTTTCATAATCACGAGGATTCTTCATTTGTCCACCTTAACCACAACCTGGAATGGAGCAGGGGTCAGGACAGAGCCCTGCAGGCTGTGCTTTAAGTGTCTTTTATTGTAACGCCAGGTATTTCTAATTATCTTTGGAGTGCAGCTTTGCAGCCTGTTGTGCAATTGCTGCAATTTCATCTAGACTGTGTTTTCTCAGTCTGCTTGAGTGTGTCATGTGAGAGCATGTTGAAATCCTCACCATGGCCAAAGCACATAATATCCACTGCTTCCCTCTTATCTGACATACCAGTTATCAGGTCAGCAAAGGGAACCAGATTGGCTTAACATAATCAGGCCTTAACAGATCTGCATAAGCTATTTAATGACCCTGGTATCCTTTAGAGGGTTATGACATAATCACTTACAAAACTGGTCTGCTTAAGGGAATGGTGATGAGCAGTCTGTAATTCTGGATTATTCCTTCACTGTTTCTGAAGATAGTTACCAGATTTACCCTCCCTCAGGTCTCTGAGACCTCCTTTATCCTTCATCTCAGAAAGAACTGCCAACTTTTCAGGGACTCCAGGAGCATTAAGCACATGAAGATGAGTTGCAGCAAGCCTTTTGCAATACGGATGTAACTGCTTTATCTATCCCATTGTCAAACCTCTCCATCACAGTATGGCCTCTCCCTCCCTGTGCTCCTGCACCCTTGTTTAAACATTTCAAACATGGTCTGCTCCCTATCTGGTCACCATGAGCATTTTTATGATGGCTGGAACAAAGCCTGCATTAGCTGTTCCAGCCAGCTCGGCTGGCTTTTGTTTCCTTTGCCGATAAGGACCAGACTGACATTCCCCATTGTTTCCTGCTATTATATTTATGGAGCCCTTGCTTGTTGCCTTTTGTGTCCTGTACTAATTAGCACTCATTTTACACTGGAGCCCGTGGTGGTTTTTTTCCTTTGGTTCTCCAACATGGTGCTTAATCATCCCTGTGTTTTTACCTTGCTGACTTCAGGCCTTTAGAGCGCTCCTGCGGCTGCTGCAGTGCTCCCCCTCTTGCCTCTCTATAGCTTGCCTCAGGACGAGCTGCCTGCCTCCACTCCTACTTGAGTGGGCAGGCTGCAGAGCTTGTGTGCACTGCTAGTGTGACTCCGTTGCTTCTGTTAAAGTAGCCTTTTTTTACTTTGCCTCTCATTTTGGTGATCTCAGCCAGCCAAGCCTGCCCACTAGTCCCACAGTTACCTTTCCCTGTAGCCACTGCTCCCATTCTGCAGAGCACATCTCCCTTGATATGCTGCCTAACATCTTCTATGGCTTTTGAGCAAGCTCATCCCAGCCATGGTGTTGTTCTGGTGCTGAGGTGTAGGCTAAGTCCACAGTGCATGTTCAACCATTGTTTTGGTTGCATACAAAGGCTGCCTCGTTCCTCAAGCTCTCTCATGTCACATTTCCCCTCTCCTTCTTCCTCCTCCCATGACTGCTGTGCTTCCTCTCACTGCACCTGGAGGTTTTGCTTCCAGCCTTCCTTCCTTCCTGGGGTGGCACTTCCCTTTCTTTGCTAGATGGCTCCCTCCACCTGTGCTAGGGATAACATGAGATCCCTGGGGTGGCAGAGCTCTTCAGGATTCCCCAGGTCCATCTGTTGCTGCTGGGTCCTTTGCTCTCCAGTGGGTGGCTGAACCCAGCAACTACCCCCACTCCCGCTCCCTGCCAATCTGCAGGGGGTGAAGCTGCTGTTGGCAGCCTTACTTGGCAGGTGAGGATTTGGGCCCTGGAGGTCTTATGAGCACAAAATAGGGCTCTAAGCTGCACAGGGATGCTTTGCCCAGCTGATGGCCCCACTCCAGGTTCGGGTAGCTCAGGAATTTCCAGGGAAATGTGTTTAGCAGAGCAGACCCATTGTAGTGGGGCAGCTGCTGTAGGGCTTGCAAATGCACTTCTAGGCCAGAGGCGAGCCAGTTGAGTGAGCCCTTTAGCACAGTTTGCAGGTTAATAAAACAAGCCGTTGTTTGTGCAGCATGAGGTCCCTCTGTGTTCTGGTCCTGGAGGTGATAATCAGCCTCTCATGGCCACCATCATCTGCCTCCTTGGCCTTGTTGGATCAGGAAAGGGTGTTTTCCAAGGCTGGAGGTGGCCTTTCTCCCAGATCTTACACTAGCACAACTTAGCAGCAGGAAGCTGCTAACCCAGGGGTGTCACTATCTGCAGAGGATGGGAGGAGCAGTGTATCTGGTGTGCATTGCTGAGCAGGGCTCCCTCCTGTGCTGGGGGATGCCAAATGCTGAGTATGTCACCCTTGGGGACTGAGTGGTCTGTATGGATGTGCTAAGGGGTGTGGGATGCTGGTGGGGTCTTGGCACTTGGGGGGGTGTCATGGGACATCTGTGTGGGAAGACTCTATGGGTGGCAGGATCACAAGGAGGTGTTGGCTATGGGCTGGGGCTGCTTGCTGTGCTACCAGCTCACCCCTGTCTTTCTCCTCCTTGCAGACATCAACGAGTGTGAGGAGGTGGGCAACCCTGAGCCCCTGTGCCAGGGAGGCACCTGCGAGAACACAGAAGGCTCTTACCGCTGCCACTGCTCACCGGGCTATGTGGCCCTGGCCCAGCCCCACCACTGCGTGCCCCAGATAGCCCAGAGCCCAGCAGCAGCATAGCTCTAGGGGAGCGGGGGTGAGGGTGCTCCCCTCTGGTGTACCACTCTGGCACCCAGGATGCTCCCTGGGAGCTCAGAGAAATGCCCTCTGGGGCTGCAGGTGCTTCAAGGCTCTTCGTTCCTTCCCTGTCGAAGCATACAAACCTCCCCACCATCTCTGCCCACAGGCCAGGGCAGAGCTCCCAGCCTCTGCAACCCCTCTGCCCTGCCAGCCCCTGCTCCTGCCACCGCAGAGCCCACCCTGGCCCCCAGCACCCATCACATTGCCCCACGCCATGGAGGCTCACAGGAAGCCTTCCCCTGCCACGCAGGCCCGACCTCCCCACCTTGCTCTGCCAAGAAAGGGGGTTCATCTCCCCACTGCCGCTGCACTGACCTAGTGACAATCCTCACCTGTGCTGCAAGTGCTGGCCCTGCTCCTGGTGAAGTAGCCAGCCCCCAGGCTAGAGCTTTAAGGGAGGAGTGAACCTCAGCTTTCTAAAGCTGCTGCCTAACCTTGGGATGCAGTGGAGAGGCCAGAGGGGCCCCAGGTCCAGCTCTCCCTGCAGCCAGCCCAGGCAAATCCCTTAACCCCACACTTTGCCGTTGTGCCCCGCGCTAGCTGGGCAGGGGGACACAGGGGCAGGTTCAGCTTCCTATCTGTAAAGTTGTTGGTGACTTTTGGGTTTTTTTTAACCAAGTCTGTTGGAAACTTCTCTCATGTTGTTAAATAAAGCATTTATTTTGGGGCCCCTGTGGCTCAAGACACTGGGGCTGGTCAGAACTGTACCTGCCTGCCACATCCTCCCTTTGGGTCCAGCCTGGCAAGGCTACTCCACTCTCATAAGCCAATTCTTACCCCTGTCATGCTGGCATCCAGCCTCCTCCTGCTCCTCAGCCAGAAAAAAAGACCCTTGCCAGGCCAAATACTTGCTTATCTCCCCAGCCCAGTACCAGCCGCAGAGCCCCCAGACTGCACAGCAAGTGTGATTGCCTGCACCCTGCTTTGCTCACACAAGGGGGCTCCAGTTTAAGTGTGAGACTACAGGTTTCTGCAGTTGGCAAGTGCCCTTGGGCAACTCTGGGAGCTGCTTTTCCAGCCCATGCCCTCATTAGAAAGGCCTTTACCTATGCTGCAACAAGCAAGGCCAAATTCTACACCACTACCTCCTCAGGGAGCCTTTGCACAATTTCAGGCCAGCACGGGACCAGCAAAGCAGGAGCCCAGGCAGACACTGCCAGCTGGACACCCTGACAGTCAGCAGCAGTGATGCCTGGCTGTTCACAGGTCACCCACACTCAGGCCAGCATACCACCTCTATCCATGCCTTCAGCTGAGAAGTAAGACCAGCCCAACCCCACCTAGATGCCCAGCCACTCTGCTTTGCCTGCTGCTCCTTTCCACTCACAGAAGACAACACAAGCAGATTTTATCTAGCCTTTATTAAAAGAAGTTATAAAAAGAGGTTCAGGAGCTCCCAGAAGCTCCAAGTTAGTAGTAGTGCAAAACATTGGTTAGAGAAAGAATCATCCCTGCAAAGACATCGAACACCATTTGGCTTTGCATCCACAAAGAGGAAGTTTTCCCAGCTGCAGTCCTGCTGGCTTGAGCAGGAGCCCAGGATACTCGGGGAAAGACCCCCTCCTTCAGCTCCATGGATGGCAAACGCAGGCCCCAGGGGCACCCCAGTTGCAACAGAGCAGGAGAGACACAGGAAGGTGGATGCAGCTGGCATTCTTGAAGAGGCACTAAAGGGTTACCAGGTAGCAGCTCAGACACTAGCCAGATTCATCACAGAGAACTTCCATTCTGACAGACAGCTCAGTCCCATTTCCAGTGGCTGGAGGATGATGCTCATTCACTCCTGCAGCAGACACTACTCCCCGTTGAGCTGCTGTGAAAACACTCCAGGGGCTCTAAATGGGTAAAAGACCACTGTCCACAGATGACCTTGCAGGAACACAGTACTGGCTGCTCAGAGGCTGGAGAGCTCTGAAGGAAGCAGTAAGAAATGCTTATTGTATAAAAGAATTTGGCCTGTGTTGCTTTCTTTTTTTTTTTTTTCTCCCCAAGCCCTACTAATGTCAGGGCTCCTCAGCTGGTGATCTGAACTGGTATCTTCCAGCAGAACAACATCTGGTCCTGGTCATCCACCAGCTCCCACTTCACAATCAGTTTAATCTGAAAGAGCAGAGGGAAATGAGAGTGTTCACAAAACCACAAGGCAAAAACATGGGGGAAGGGGATGTTGTTACTTGTGTGCAGCAAGAAGGTCCTGGGAGCTCTGCACAAAGAAGACTGAGCTGGGGCATTGCCCCCACTGCTCTAGGAGGGCCAGGCTCATGCAGTTGCTCCTGGAGTATCTTACATGGACGGAGGGTTCTGCTGCGTAATACAGATCTCCACGTACTGCACTTGAGTCCTCACTGAGTAAGGAGAGAGTGGAAACACCCTGCATCCTCCCAGCTGAACTGCACCCTGGAGTTGAGCAGCACCAGTTAGGGAGCATTTGGCTGAATGCAGCAGGCTCTGCAGGGAGACTACATATGAGCATAGCACAGAACAGGCTGATACTTGGGCAGCTGAAGCCACTTCTCAGCTGCTGGAGTCAGGCTGCTGCTCCTGCTGGGTCCATCCCAAAATGGGAACTTGAGACAGTCATACTCACAGCAAAAGTGCCACCAGATAGTCTGAGTAGTCTTCTAACCTCTTTCCCACCACCATGGGACAAGATGTCTTTCCTTAAAGACGGGTGGTGGGACTGTCTCAGGAAGGACAGATTCTGAAGAGCAGATCAGATGCCTGCTTACTTACACTGGGGTACTCGCTCTTCACAGGGAGTTTGTTCAGGTAGCTGTAGGAATGGCCCTTCTGAATGGGGCACTGGATCCCGGACTTGCATCCATCAGGCTCCGGAATGGGAAAGGGCACGTCCACACGCAGCATCTCACCGTACACCTTCGCTTTGCTGCCCTGACTGTCGATCTCTGCAGAACACAGAGAAGCATGAACACAGCACCAGAGCAAGAAACACGTTTCTATATGACACACACACCTTCCCCTCCACCGACACACGCTAGAGGCTCGGAGAACACAAATAAGCGACGCTCTCCTTTTCCGGACACCTCTTCCCACCCAGACCCCCCTCCAGCGACTCTTCCCCACGGCTCTCGGGGCCGCGGGACGCAGGGGCGGTCACCTCAGCCCCGCTCACCCCCCGTGCCGGGCTGGGGAAGGGACACTCACTGCTGGCGAAGGTGACGTTGATACTGTAGGACGTCCCCTTAACGAGCTGGCAGGGCTGCGTGGGGCACGGGCTCACGTTCACCTCTTGGATGCTGCCGTCGGTGGAACCTGCAAGGAAGAGCCGGAC